GGAGACAGAGAGAGAGAGAGTCACACAGAGAGAGAGAGAGGCACACAGAGAGAGAGAGAGGCACACAGAGAGACAGAGAGGCACAGAGAGAGAGAAAAAGGCACAGAGAGAGAGAGAGGTAGAGAGACACAAAGAGAGAGAGAGAGAGGCACACAGAGAGAGAGAGAGGCACACAGAGAGAGAGAGAGGCACACAGAGAGAGAGAGAGAGGCACACAGAGAGAGAGAGAGAGAGGCACACAGAGAGAGAGAGAGGCACACAGAGAGAGAGAGGGAAACCGATAGTATTTTTTTCCTTTTTATAGTGTTCTATATTATATCCCGGCACTGACCTGCTTTATTGGTCACGATCAGTACTATAGCAGACCATGTAGCAGGTCCTGACCATACACAGAACTCATCCTGCAATGAAGCCATGACCCTGGCGCCACTCACTTAGGATTCCGGAGCATTATATGTCGGAGAATTTCGCTGATACATCTCTGTGTGATCTCCATCCTGCGCTGTGTCTGTATGGCCGCCGATAATTGGAGCAAATTCTTGGTGCAGCAAAGCCCACCTGGCTGCTGAGGAAGAGCACAGCGGTGAGCCCGGCCTGCAAGCAGTAAGCTGACCCCCGAGGTGCACTCTGCATTTTCTATATGTACAATAAAATAATATAAAATGTATGAATACAATGTTTTACATGACACATCTCCATGTTAATCTTCTGAGCTGAGACCGTGACATGCTCACACCGGAAGCGGGCAGATATAAGGTGTATTGTATCGTTGTTCTCCGTGTACCCCTCACAAGACCTCGGCTTAGTGCTTGCTCTATTAATGTGAACAGATGGTACTCACCCAGATAAATCTTTTTATTGTATTCATGAATCAGAAGAACATAAAAACCTGAGACACACATAAGACATGTGCAGGGGAGAGGGAAGCGGGAATCACAGTGAAATGTCAGACCTTGGAGAAGAATTTAGTGATATCGGAGCCGTATTTCGAGGCCATGGATTGTTTCTTTATCTGGCTCCTTTCCTTTGCCTGCTGAGCTGTTCTCTGCAAAAAAGCAAAGTGCAGGTTGAAGCGTGCAGGGTGAATGCTCATTAAAACACTTCAAATAAATGAAGATTTGCCATCTTAGAGGGAACATAAAAAAAATGTTAATTGTGCCTCAGATGTACCTGGAATATCTATTCCTCCTGAAATATAGCAGAGGATGCATGTGAAGGTGCCCAGGTACTCCTGTGACTACAACCTCATCGCTGTATGTCTGCAGTGTGGTCAGGTGCCAGTCTGACATGAGGAAGCAAAGCTCTGCCTCCACCAAGATGGACACCTCCACCTAATGACACAGTGCAGTACAAGGAATGGTAAGCCATTGTGAAAGATCCTCTGTGTGGAGACCACTGGGAATACTGGAGATTGGACTTTTGCCCCCTGCTTGCCCTTCAGGCACAGATTTGCACCTCCGTCTGTCTTGGCAAAATAAAACATTAAACACGTTCAGTACATCTCTCTCATGTTTCCCTATGTTTTTCTTCTTTAAAAATGCTGCAAATACAGTAACACACCTCCCAGAAATCCAGTGAGCTCCTGACTTCCTGTTCACCTTTCTCATAAACCAGCCCATGCAGTCCAAGGATCCCAGTAGATGTAAATGAACTACTGTGAAGAGTTCAAGTTGCATACCTGTGGGCCACGGTGATTCCCCTGATGAAGCCTTTAAAGAAAAAACTCTAAAGGCAGTTTCTAACTCCCCCTCCATATCCCATCCGCAGGGCCCTACAGACATTGGACTCGCTCTCTCTCCCTCTAGCATCAGCGGCTGAGTTCAGTGTTCCTGCTACATTGAGTGTGTACTGCGCATTCACAGCCTTTGAACAGGAACGGCACTCACTCCTGTCATGCTAAGGGGTGAACATCTAATGGCTGTAGCTCCCCGGAAATGGGATAAGATGAGGGGAAGCTGCCATTAGGTGTTCCAGGCTCCAGGAGAGGACCAACGTGGCCTACAGGAATGCAGCATTAAAAGAGAACTATGGGGTAAGTGTTTTTCCCCATAGTTCTCCCAGGGGTCACGGGAGGACATATACCAGCATCCTCCCGTGACTCAAAGCTCAGTATTTAGCGAGCTACAGCTCGCTATATACTGAGACCGCCACAGCCGGGACGGATCCCGACATCACTGTAGAGATCCACCCAGCTGTGTGAGTGACAGCAGGTTCTGACTATCTAGAGGCAGAGCCAGCTGTACCCGCCCCCACCCCCGTCCGTTCCTCCAGTCAGCGCTGGAGGATTGGAGAGGGGTGGGGGGAATCCCTGCGGGGAGCGGTGACTGACAGTCACCGCTCACTGCAGGGAGATGATCTATTGAGCCGACGTGTGACAATTTCATTGTCACACGACGGCTCGAAGTTCTCCTTTAATAAAGCAAGAAACTGACTGCATGGGCTGTTTTATGAAAAGAAGTGAACTAACCCTTTAAGCTAAAATCCCAAGCAGGGCGCTCAGCCTTCCCTGAGTGACTACAGAACACCTCCACCTATGATATGGAGTTTAGTAGAATGCGAATTGAAAGCCAGATCATACATACCGGACTTCAGAATCCTCGTTTGGCAGAATGGGCCCAATTTCTCATGGACACACTCCAACAACTTGTAGAAAGCCTTCCCAGGAGCAGAGAATGTAATAGCTGCAAGGAGGGAGGGGGACAACTCCATATTAATGGCCATGATTTTGGAACGGGATCTCAAACAAGCTCATATACTGTAGGTGTGACCTTCAGGTGCCCACAAACTTTTGGTCACATGGTGTATCCATCTTGTTGGGACGTCAGGATTATGATGCAGCAAAAAGTGTACCTTTTATCATTACTAATTAGTCCTTGAGCTTCAGTCCGGTGACTTTACCTAGGCTGAGATGATGTTATCCATAACGTATTTGGTGACCATGGAGGACGCCTGAGCAAAGATGGTTCTGTCCTTGTGAAGAGTAGGCAGATGAAGGCACAGTACTAAGTACCTGGAAGTGCTCCACAGTACTCAGCATGGATTGGCTCAACATAAAATAAATATATGTGATGCTAAGGTCCACTTTAATTGTGACTTTCTCCTTTAGCATCCTCATTATGGATCAAAACAGAGGAACTAAAATAAATTCAAAAAGTGAAAGGATGCTCGGGGTGGAGCGGTGGATTCTGGGTAAAGCGGTCTATTCCCAGAATGACTCGCACTGTAAATAAGGCTTAGCTGAAAGCTTTTGGCATCCACCAGCGTGGAGTGTCTCATCATCTGAAGCCTCTCCGAGCTTGTCGGGTTGTCAGAAGGCAGTTATATCGCTGGACAAGTCTGCCGCTTCTCACTCAAATTGCCTCATTAGCGATGGAGAATTTGCAGAAATTAGAAAATGCAGATAATGAGCCACTTCCATTTTATCTCGCACGCTGCTTCGCAAAGGCGAGCCATAAAAATTGCCCCAATTAGGAGAGAGCAGAGACTCCACTCCCGCGCCGGATCCAGGCGAGAAAGTCACCTTCCACTACCCGGCAATCAATCGAAGGCATTGAAGGAATGATATGGACAGTGGTAGAATAATTGAAAGGAGCGCGGCGCGGTTGATGCCCTGAACTGAGCCGGTCCCATTTTCTCTGGGCAATAATTACCACTAATTACTGTGTGGACGGGAATAGAGACTCATTTGCTCTCTCTGCACTCCTCGCCTGATGAACAATGAAGAATCGCCGCGCCTTATGTAATAAAATTAGTGTTATTTTAGCCGGGGAAATATGGGTCTGTGACATTCCGAAGGCAAAACTTCTCTGCAAACTTCGGTGAGGAAGTCACATGATCTGTCATTCTAGAAGGAAAAGTCTACAGACTGCCCGAGGTGAAGGGAACTCTGTACTCAGCTCACTGAAAATATGAGAGACAATAGAACTGCACGCCAAAGAGAATCCTCAGTGTTAGGTCCGATGCCACATTGCTTCTATTCTATTATCCACCTAAAGCTGAACTCCGGGATGAGCAGACATTGTCCTCATACAAGTCATGTGTATTCTTCTTGAATCTTGGTGAGCTTTGTGTATTTCCTCCAGATCTGTGCAGTAATCCAGTGTGAGACTTGGAGCTTCCTGTAATAAAGACCGCTCACCACTACTCTCTCTCCTTGTGCCTGGTGGCTGTTCTCGTCTCCGCCCCCTCCTGTAATAAAGACCAGTCACTTATAAACCGGTGTGCTGCGCTTGGTTTTGTGATGCGTGCTCTGTTTAATCCTTAAATTATGTGAAACCAGTCACTGCTGCTCTCTCCTTGTGCGGGGTGACTAGTCCGGTCTCTGCTGGTCTGATCCACTGGAGGGCGCAGTACACACAGGACCTGCAGCATGTACTCTCTAGTGGAGGCCTCCACTGCAATATATGGGGAACTTAGTTGGGACAGACCTATGATCACAAAATCTAAAAAGTTTTAATTCTGCACATGAATTCTAAATGGGTCTTTGATATATAATCCATCTTGAGAAAATTGGACAAGCTATTGGTCACATGGTCTCTGCTACATGACTGGATCACCGAATGGTTGCCTCTGAATGTCACTCCTCAGGAAATGTCACAGTCTCATTTAGAATTTAAAGCTGAACTCCGGCCGCCTCTTCAGTCTTGCACAGTTGTTCCGGCTCCTCTCCTGGACTGAAATTGGTTTCTCTGCCTTCCTTGCACACTGTGACCTCCTCACAATATGCATTAGAACCTGCAGCAAGTCAGACAGAGCCCACTCCAATAATGGCTGGAGGACATCCAATAATTCCTAACTCTTTCCTCCACAGCTTTCTTCTCCCTGGCTCGCCCCTTTCTGTCCATGATTGGGTTGCATCTATATAAATCATGGAGGCACGGCATGACATTTCAGTATTACCTATGGAGGGGTCTGGATCCAAATCAAGCCTGGCTAGAAACGCCCACTCCCCCAGACTGATATCCACCTATCAAGACATTTTGATATTTGCCCAACTCCTCCCAAGAGCCAGCCCAATGCTTGCATGCTGAGGGTTCTGGGGAGGAGTACGGAGTGAACTTAACCTTTTATTACAGAAAGGATTGCATTGCATTTTTCTGCTGAGCCCCTTTAAAAGTGAACATCTCTAAATATACACTGCAATATATATACTGTAAATATACAGTAGATCAGGGGTGGGCAACTCCAGCCCTCCACCTGTTGAACTACAAGTCCCATGAGGCATTGCAAGACTGACATTTACAGGCATGCTGGGATTTGTAGTTAAAGCACAGCTGGAGGGCCGGAGTTGCTCACCCCTGCAGTAGATACTATCACATTATATTAACTTGCCATCTCCAGGCATCCCTAGCTACTAACTCCTAGACTGACCACCAATGCTGAATATGGGTCTGTACACTGGACATAGAAATCCTTATATCACAGACAGAAATCTGATGTGGATTGTTAGCTCTTCTGCCAATCACGGCATCCAAATTACACAGACACAGCTAAACACCTATTTCTTATATCTGAATTCCATCTTTTGCCCGGAGTCCTCGTTTAAGCCGGGGATCCAATCCTGCCCTGTGGAGAAATCACATTTGGGTGGAGTCGGTCTTTACCGAGAGGACGTTTTCCATGTCTATATGATGGAACCAGAAAAGTGTAAACACAAAGCAGCGCCAATAATGATGCGGAGTGTGACTTCGCCATACATAACACGGCCGTGACATCCTCGTACCGCTATTGGCAGCATAAGACATAAAGAGACTAATGAAGTAGAAACAAGAAAAAACAACTTGCACAGAAACTGCGATCAATTAGACGCTAATACAAACAGCGAGTTTATTTCTCTCAGTGACCCCGATATTGACAATTGTGACACGCAGTAACACTAACAATGTCACTGACATTTACAATAACAAATACTGACAGCCGCCGACATACAATGTAATCTATACGCTTTTATTCACAACTGAAGGCATTCACAACTGAAGCACATATGCAGACAGGGACTTAGATCATGATGTCCTGCTATACCCGTGGTGAGAAATTCGGTACAGCTCGTCCCAAGGTTGGGTGACACCCGGAGCAGAGCCCGGGTGACACCCCGCCGTGACGTCATCACCCATGCACGTGACGTTGCCACGCGCGTGCATGATGACGTCATCGCACATGCACGGTCGTCTTATTAGCGCCTGCCGGCGGTCATCTTGGTGATGGACGCCAGCAGAGAGAGGAGGGGACGTTTACCCGGCGGGATGAGGTATGCCGCCGGGTCCCCTCCTCTCTGACGCTGTCGGGCTCTCGGTCCATGACCAGTCATTTTGGTGTCACCCCTTCAATGGTGGCACCCGGGTGCGGGTCGCACCCCCTTTGTGATGCCACTGCAGCCACCTTTAGGTTCCTGTTTTACAGCTCTACTTCGGTGAAAGAAATGTATCCATGTAACTGTGGAAGCTGTGTCCTAAGAAAAGACAAGCAAAGAGCAAAGAGCAAAGGACTGGTCACCAGTAGGGATGTGCGTGGGCTTGGTGATACGGAGTTTGCCTGAGCCCACACAAAACGGTCCCCTTTTCCAGCCCAGGCGGTGTCTGGGGCATTCGCCATCCTGCAGCCACACGTAACAAAGGAGCAGGGAATGCCCCGGCCGCAGCTGGTCAGTCCAACACATGGATGTGCCAGTTTTATGCACGTTCAGGCGATCTTCCTTCACGCCAAGCACACGCACGTCCCTAGTCACCCGTATTGCCTATGGGCTGCATGCAGTTTCCCCATTTTTACCATGCCTTGTTCTGTCAAGTTTTTCTGTTTGGGGGCAGCCATCTTGTTAGAGGAGCTGAGCATTTCTTCCTCATGTCACAGCTTTCCCCCTGATGACTGATGATCGTATGACTGGTAAGGGAATAAATAAACAGCAACAGGAGATGTGGAGGAAATCCCAGATCCACAGACTGAATACAGCAGAAGCAGGGAGATTCTTGCAGGGCCTCAGGTACATCTTCCTCTCCGGCAAGGAGAATGGTGAGCAGCACAGCACTGACATTACCTCAATCTCACTCTAAATCTGGTGAGACTAGCAGTCAGAGGCAGCAGTGCCTTAGATGTCAAACTGCAGATATACAGCTATGAGACTCAAGGCACAGGACGTGCACAGCTATTTTTCAGGAGGAATTCAATACAAAACTTAATTTATTTATTTTTTAGAGAACTGCTTGGGCACAATTAACATATCTATAACATGTTCTAATTCAGGTCTACTTTAATATTACATTTAACCCAAAGCAATCAGTAAACGCCCTATCTGTCCCCAAAAAATGGTATAAAATTCATTTCAGTACAGCGTTGCATGACGGAATAAACGTCAGTCAAAGTATCGCAGCGCTGAACACTGAAAAATGGCCTGGCCAGGAAGGGGGTCTAAACACCTGGTCTTGAAGTGGTTAAAGACACTCAAGACTGAATAACCATAAAAAGGAACAACGTACCTCTCTGTGGCAGACGGTGCACAGGGTCTGCAGATTTTCCAGCGAGCACTGACCTCCCCCACCATACACCGGCCTAATGTGGTCCACTTGCCAAAAGTGGCCTTCAGTGGGGTTGCAGATGAGTTCATTGAGCTACAGAGGGGGAAAGAAAGAGGATAAGGGGGGATGGGTTACACATCATTTGTCTTGTTGCACATCAGAAGACATTAAACATAACAGGGCCAGTACCAGCCTGGATCCCCCCGCTTCATGTTGTAGAACAGCAACATCTCTTTGTGGATCCCATTAAAACTGGCGTTTGACAGCTATTGTCAGGGGAATGGGAGAGTACAAGTGATCAGGTGGTTAGGATTGTTGTACGTCCCTTCTCACTGCAACTACAATTGCCAAACTACAAGGAGGACGACACAAAGAGTATGAGTTCCTCACATCGTAACAATGAAAAAAGTGTCATACTTCTGAACTGCAGCACCATGTGACATACGTCTGTTACAGATAACTAGATCCTCGTATGCGTCCCCGTACATTGCAGAATAGAATGGAATGTGCCGTGTTACTTTTTAGGTTGCCAAGAAGGTGTTCCAGAAGTTCCAAGACTGGGGTACAAGTATGACCGGACTTTTCTCACCTTCTCTCAGTAGGAATGGCAGGTCACCCTCAGGAGGTACGATCTGACAGCCCTTGTACCAACTGCCTCAGCGAATGGGGGCAAGGATTTAGGGAATGGGGAGGTTTCAGCGCTCAGCAGGCATGCCCAATGTTGCTTGGTCCAGGGAATGTTTCAAATGCTGTAGCTAACCACTGTAGGGGGACAACTGGTGGTGACTGAGGTTCCAAATGACTCTTCTTCCACACCGTCATTCAAAGAGCTGCAGCAAAGTGAAGCCACAATCTATCTAAATACCTGAAAGGAAGATTCTTAATGTCTGCCGCAGGTAATGCAGAAAGTTTCTGTTCTTCGGCACTTGCTAGAGCGACCTGAAAATCTCAGCCGGCTTTCATTACCGATAAAAGCCGGCATCCTGTCACCATGGAAACAGACTTGCTCTAATTGATACGGGCCTCATTTATCACGTCGAAAATAGGAACTGTCTCTAGTGCCTCACAGCAGGTGAACCCGCGCTGTAAGCAGACAGCTGGAGGATGGAAGATCTTCGATCTGATTGGTAGCTGCAGGTCAATACAGACAGTTCCTATCGCAGACACTGTGATAAGGAAGTCCCAGCATGTGCTACTCTTGGCTCGCAGTCTGTCCTGCTCACTTTAAACGGGAGAGCTTCTGCTTAAAGTGTTATTTGTGGTTTATTTATTTTTAGTATGAAAAAGCAATGCTAAAAGTGTTAAATCCGTCCTCAGAGACACATGGAGGCTGTCCCTGATGACCTACCCCTTCTTAAAATGCTGGCTGCCTGGGTGCCATGCTGATACAATATCCTGAACATTCCTTTAATTATTGATTCCACACACGAGTCTGCAGATCAGGAGTTCTGATTGCGCTTTGACTTTACTTGCTGCATTCTGGGTCCTATGACCCACAAAATGGTGCAATGATTGGATCAGGACAGCCAGGTGACTAACATTTCCAGGTGGTGGTCAGGAGTGGCTGCCTCTATGTTTATCCCAGCACCAGTCTCCATTAAAGGAGAACTATGAGGCGAGTGATTTCCACCCATCCTCATGGTTAGAGCCGACGTGTGACAAAGAAGCTGTCAAAGGTCAGTTCTATCAATCGGGAAGTGCGCAGAAACATGTCGCCGATTCGCTCACTTTCTAATCGTCTCCCTGCAGTGAGCGGTGACTGTCAGTCACGGCTCCCCGCAGGGATTCCCCCCTCCAGCGCTGACTGGAGGTTTGGATGGGGGAGGGGGCGGGCACAGCTGGCTCTGCTTCTAGATGGGCAGAGCCAGCTGTCACTCACGCAGCTGGATGATCTCAACAGTAATGCCGGGATCCGTCCCGGCTGCGGCGCTCTCAGTATACGGCGAGCTGTAGCTCACCATATACTGAGCTTTGGGTGGCGGGAGGAGGTTAGTATATGTCCTCCCGTGACCCTTAAGAGAGCTATGGGGAAAACACTTACCCCATAGTTCTCTTTTAAATATTCCAGATCATGTGCACAACATGACAGCCAATTAGGTTGATCACATGGGCTTGTTTACACACTAACCTGCTGGCTTCAGCTATTTCTAGACACTTCTCAAAGAGAGGGAAGCACACTGACAGCTAAAGCCAGCAGGCTGCAGCTGTCACACAGCAAAAAAAAAAACGAAAAAATGAAAACAAGATAACATTTTGTTTGTCCATATGTATTAAAACACAAACAATGTATGTATTACAGCAGTGGACCAAATATATAAAAAATACATTAAACAACAAAAAAAAATTGCAAAATTATTCAGGCAGGGAAATTGTTTATAGCAATATTGTCAAGTTCAAACAGGATAAAGAGGTCACCAGCACTCCAAAAGTTCCATGCTCTTTTATTTGGCATAAAGGGTCATATCACCATTTATAGCTTTGTTTGCCTGATGAAGGAACTGAACATATTCAGAAACCTTACCATACATGGTGATATGACCCTTTATGACAAATAAAGGAGCATTACTCAAGGAACTTTTGGAGTGCTGGTGAGCTCTTTATCCTGTTTGAACTGCTTGAACACAATCAAAAACAATTTTGTATGCTGGAGTTGGGCTTCAAGAGAAGCTGCTTAATTTGGTCTGGCCCCTAATGACCTGTTCATTAGGGGTTAAACACGCATCTGCGCGAGGCCAAAGAGCAGCTAAAATACAGAGGGGGGAATTTACCAAAACTGGAGCAGCTGTGCATGGCAACCAATCAGCTTCTCTCTTTAGTTTGTTCAGTTAAGATTTGAAAATGAGAGAGAGATGCTGATTGGTTGCCATGCACAGCTGCTCCAGATTTTGTCTGCTCCAGTTTTAATGAATTCCCTTCAATATATCTTCTCTTCTGGACTATTAAAATGGACCAGCGTAGAATAAAATCTAATTTCCTGTGAGCTGCCCCGTTATGTTCTTCTTACTGGGGGGGAAATTGCTTCTGGTCTTACCTGGTCTAGCGGTAGCTGTGCCATCCAGGTACTCTGCAGCAGCGTTTTCCTCTGGCCCTTGGGTGCGTCCCGCACACTCAGGAACAGCTCGTGTGCATTTAAACAGCACTGCTGGCACACGCCGTGCTCAGTTTCGAAAACCTTCGCCCTCATGTAACTCTGGCTTGAGCGGATCAGGAAGTCATCGTGGCACTTTCTCGAGCAAAAGCGTGAATCCCAGGCAGGCGTGGAATCCAGCGCGCGAGGGCAGGGCTCCTGGCAGCGCACGCACAGAGGGTTCCCGGCCTCGTCCAGCACCTGCAGATAACCTTGCTGAGCCGGGTCTTCCTCCCCTCCGTCCGCCCGGGCCCCGTCGGCTCCTGGAACGTTTGCACTCTCCGTCCTAAAATTGGAAACATGGTTGGATAGGGGATGAGTAATCGCAGGAGAAATGAAAACCGTTTGGCTTAAAGAGGCCTGCATAATAATCACTGTCTTATTACGACGTCACACTGTGAAACTAATAAGAGGCATAAAATGGTACAGGAAGCAAGACCAAGGATAAATTGTTCATTTTGTGATATCGTGGCTTTCGCCCATCGCGCTCCTTCCATTAAAGTCTCCATCCATTTCTTTTTAACACAGTCTTACTGGGAGGCCCCCCCTCGCTCTCCAGCTTAATGTGCGCATATTGCATAGTCTGTGAGCTATATTTACACTCGTAAAACAAGATCGCTGCTAAATTATTCATTTACACTTTGTGAACAGTGAAAGAAGAGACGGATTGACATTAATTTTTTAAGTGTTCCTGGTATTGTTTATTGGTTAGGGAAAATCCACAAAGCACAGGACGCCTGAAAATATTTCATTTTCATTTAAAGGTTGACTCCTTTCTATAAAGGTCGCTGCAGTATGGAGAAGGATGGGGAGAGCGACTGGTGAACTGACATTACACCACATTGGTATCTGTCCCAGCCCCCTCTTGCAAGGCCAAAACAGGGTCTTACTCTCCTCTCATTCCTTGACTCCTCACTTCTACAATACAACGAATTCACCTTCATTGAGCTTTGAAATGACAACAGAAAGAAAGCACAACTGTGAATTCTGATGGGGAAATGTCTAAGGAGGTTAGGAAGACACAATAAGATTCAGCTCGTCATTGGCTGCCAAACTGTTTCTGTTTTGTGGCGACTACTTTGCTCTGTAGAGTACCATTTCCCAAAAAGTCAATATATGTTCCCCATTTCAAGCTAGCAGCTCACAGCAATGTCTGGTTCCCAATCGCGTGTTCACCAAGCCAGCCAATTAGTGATCACATGGGTTTGGTAATCATAAAAATCCAACTTTATCGTTGTAAATTCCATGCAAAGTTCAAAATACAAGGTATACACCACCATAGTATCTCTCCCACTCCAACGCCCCTCACGCGTTTCACCACCTGGGCTTTATCATAAAGGACAGGGGTTTGCCCGCCGGCTGAGCTGTCATTGTGCTTTGCACAGAGCGAGAGAGAGGGAAGGCTCATTGACAGCTGGCTGGAGCTTTTAATAAGCTCAGGAGTTAAATCTTAAAAATGCATTCAAAAACCTTAACTATTAGCCAAAATGTATCTTACTTGTGTATCACTCGGCTGTAGATCCTCCAATCATCTGTGAATTGGTGCTGACACTGTCCTTCCTTCTGGAGGGGGGCTACTTTTGTTACCCATGGTCCCTGTGTGTGTTGTAAAGTAGCCACCGATCTAAGCTCGCTCCCAGGATGGACTACAATCTCACGTTTAGTTTACCAATTTGTATTGAGATTGTAGCCCATCAAAGGAGTGAGCTTGGAGCGGTGACTACTTTACAACATACACAGGGACCATGGGGAACAAAAGTAGCTCCCCTCCAGAAGGAAGGACAGTGTCAGCACCAATTCAGAGATGATTGGAGGATCTACAGCCGAGTGATACACAAATAAGATACATTGTGGTTAATAGTTAAGTTACTTGAATGTATTTTTAAGATTTAACTCCTGAGTCTAGTGTCACTTTAAGTCAGTCCAAAAAAAGTTGGAAAGCGAATCATTTTACTGTTAAAAATACATTAGAAATGACCAAATTATCATCTTATAATAAAAAACACAACATAAGCGGAGCATTTACGACAACTGTGTAACAAAGACAAGCCCCAACTGTACTTAAATGTAATTCTGTTAAGCAAATTAGACACAGAGTAATGCACACTGACGCCACCTCATCTGCGCACATAGGCTTCAATGGCCTTTGACTACCAAAGGGTTAAGAGCAAACCTACAGTAAACATTGGGGGCAATTTATCAAAATTGGAGCAGATAGAATCTGGGGCAGTTGCCCATGGCAACCAATCAGCTTCTCTCTTCAGTTTGTACAGTCAGGCTGGGTTCACACCTGGGCGACTCCTGACCATGCGGCAATCGTGCACAAAACCATGTGGCTAGCCGGAGCGGTCACGGAGTCGTCCACCACAGCAGATCGCGCTGGAGGTGCAATTATTTTCTAATGGCACCCCAGTCACGCCCGCTGGATCGCACGGTTTCCCGCCCATGCTATTGAACAGGATCTTGGCCTAAAAAGCTGCATGTAGTGTGTCGCAAAAAAGGTAAATGTACATTTTGTTTAGCGATTGCCGCGTGGATGTAACTCCATTGAAATCAATGGGGCTGTGTGGCGACCGATGTGTGCACTAGCACACAATCGCGCGTCCCGGGTGTCGCCGAGGGCTGAACCCAGCCTCAAGCTTAGAAAATGAGAGACAGAAGCTGATTGGTTGCCATGGACAACTGTTACAGATTTTGTCTGCTCCGGTTTTGATAAATCCCCTTCTATGTGTTATAAATGTAACTTTTACCTGAATTTTACATTTTAATAACATTTTCAGTGTTCTTTTTTCTTGTTTCCATGTTTTAATTATTGCATTTAATATGGCAGCTCAGAAATGCTCCCTCTGGTGGTCATCTGTAACGTCATTAGTATTTCCTATTTCCTGAATTTTAGATTTGCATGTGAAAAAAAATACTGAATGATCAGAAACATTGTTGTTTTGTATAGTTTGCGGTTATACATGGTGGCAGTGGACTTCAAGCTGAATATTTAAAAGCTTTTGTAAACCTCAGAATATAATACAGGTGAAACTCGAATAATTAGAATATCGTGCAAAGTTCATTTATTTCACTAATGCAACTTAAAAGGTGAAACTAATATATGAGATAGACTCATTACATGCAAAGCAAGATAATTCAAGCCGTGATTTGTCATAATTGTGATGATTATGGCTTACAGCTCATGAAAACCCCAAGAACCCCAAATCCACAACCTCAAAAAAGTAGATTATTACATGCAATCAATAAAACAAGGATTGTACATAGAACAATATCGGACCTCTGAAAAGTACAAGCATGCATATGTACTCAGTACTTGGTTTGGGCCCCTTTTGCAGAACTTACTGCAATTACTTTTGCACGATATTCTAATTATTCGAGTTTCACCTGTAGGTTGCAGCCTGCCAGTTCTTAGATGTGGCGGCTGCATTAGTTTCCTTTTTTCTTCTTTAATTTTCACCTGGTGATCCTGTGAATAACACACTTCCTGTAACAATGTTATCTTACATGTGTAATTTACTAATCCCATCACTCTCCACATAATGGAGATGAACACAGGCAGACATAGTTGGAGGTCCAGCCTGGGGAGCAACCATGACTCCCTCCATAGATACAGTGGATGAGTGAGTGTAGCCATGGTTACTATCCCCCAGGCTGGACCTCCAACTATGTCTGCCTGTGTTCATCTCCATTAAGTGGAGAGCGATGGGATTAGTAAATTACACAAGTAAGATAACATTGTTTTTGCTTTTAGTTCAGCTCACAGGAAGTAACCAGGACATGGCGTATCCAGCAAAATCAACAGGGATTTTCTGTACTTGCTGAAACAAGAAAACTAAGGCAGCCACCACATCTAAGGCCTCATTCACACAGCTAAGAGTCAGCCCGTACAGATCCGTGTGACGTGCAAGGCAGTATCGGGCCATTCCCGGGAAGGACAGGTGCTGCGTGTGATTGAACGCGGCAGTCTGTTCTTCCCTATGGGAGGATGCGGCCGTACGCTCACCCGAACTGCATATCCGTTTGGGTGCGGGTGTCCGTGTATGGACACCCGCACGGATGTACAGCTCGGGTGAGCGTACGGCCGCATCCTCCCATAGGGAAGAACAGACTGCTGCGTACAATCACACGCAGCAACTGTCCTTCCCGGAAACAACGTGATACGGCCCCACTCTTCGCTGTGTGAATGAGGACTGGTGAGCTGCAGTGTGTTACATTTCACATACAGTGTGTTACATTTTTGTATTTGTGTTTAGTTATCTTTTAACTCACTGCCTGTCGGACCAAAAAATAAAGACTCTCTGGAGCTTCTAATGATGTCAACCAAAATGCACCCGGTGCCAATCTGCTTGGGCTGTAAGAGATATCTCCTGCAGACTTGGTAGATGGGGCCAGGTGTATTTTGCCTGTTTGACATCATTAGAGACTGAAGAGTCTCTTTATCAGTTTGTGCCCAGAGCAGTGTTTTTCCTTCACACCGAGGAAGAAGAACTCTTTTATTCAACCATAACATCATCTGGTCACAATAACAAGCGTCTTATCAATAAAGGTAGAGTGTGTTTTTTTAATGATAGGTTTCACTGCTGGTGATTTGTCATCAGAGGCGTGACTGGTCTTGATGTGACCTCAGGGTAAGTGGTCTTGTCTCCGCCCCCTCCTGTAGTTTTCTGTGCAGCACAGTGATGATGTCACTGCTACTTTTGCAATATAATATTTGGGTTTTCAAAGGCATTTGAGGCGCACAAGGTCTGTTTGTATCCTTTGTAAGAGGCTTTTTAGGAATATATTTGAATGAGAGTTTTTATGCACCAAAAAAAGCCCAAATCCCAGCGTTCATATTTTGGCACAATGGCCGTCTGGTTCCAGTGAGTTGCCCAGTACTGGTAATAGGAGTTCTGCTGGTGTGTGTGATGACTCTTCATACATTCTGCGCACAAGTTTGTGAAATGTTTGGCAGAGATCCCTTCAATCCGGCCAGCTTTATCTTTTCATTACGGTGTCTGTGCCAGGATATTAGTCTGAATTTCACAGCTCCAGCAGGTCAGTCCTCTGCTCTCCCAATCGTTATTAATATAGAGAGCAAAGTTCATTACATGGAGGACTGAACAATTAAGACAACGCCGGCTTCCTTATTACCAGTGCTCACCGCACACCATGGAAGCACTAAACACTCGCAGAGCTTCTTATTTCCTGAGCTTAGGATGAACGGCTCGCACCCCAATTCACCCCACATCTCTATGAACTGTTAAAGGGAACTGACTATCAGCTTGAGGCAACCCCGTCACT